AGTACAATGTATTTTATGGCATAGGTTCTGGTTAAGAAATGTTGGACCACACATCATATCGGTTTATGGATTACCTCGGAGAACCAACAACAACTTTGAGAGTTTCCACAATTCTCTAAAAGTCAAATTTGGCACCAACCATCCAAGTTTATGGATATTTTTAGGTAAGTTAATATAGGTATAATGATTTTATTGTTATTTCATTACTCATGTTGAAATATACAATTAATATTAGTATTCAAACCATGTAAACACACGTGCGTGTACAATGTCGTTTTCTAATAGATACTTATGCAGTTACGATATAGCTGTGTAACACCTTTACTATCGCTTTCTATATTATATACGGATACGGGATGGCCTCGATTGTTCATATAAATAGGGCCTTTGATGTATGTAATATTCACTTGCACAGACGCTGTCATACCGAGTGTACGCGGTGTGTGTGTATAGTCACAGTTTAATTGTCCAGTTGTACGTTATTATATATTACCTATACTTATACATAATCATATTGTCGTGTTATTACTTATTATATTAATGCTAACATCATTAGTCCGTCAAGCTTCACTTTCAACAGGTTATGGGCCCAGTCAATAACCAAGACATACAGTCTAGTGGATTCATGATCGAAGTATTTTTATATCTGTATTAACGCAGAAAACTACAACCAGTCGGAGATATCCTGGATTTCGGAAAACGGCGGAACAGTGTACATAGGTAAAGTTTTGTTATAAATTGTTATACAGGTCAAGTATACGGGAAATCATCGGTCATGGAAGACACGGTGAAGATAACAAAATTATGTGCGGAAAACTGGTCGTTATGGAAATTCCAGATGAAGGTCATTCTAAATGCCTTGGAAGTAGGTGAGATAGTTTCAGGTGAATGGACGAAACCAAGTCTACCTATAAAAAAGTCGGCAGGAGAGACCGACGAGGATGCCAAAACACGTTGGCAAAGGCAGACAAACGCTTGGCAAAAAGCGGACGGTAAATGTCAGAAAATAATAGTTACCTCAGTGGACGATGGTCCATTACAATATTTGATTAACTGTGAGGCTGCATTGGAAATGTGGGAGAAACTGCTGAGTATTTACGAGCAGAAGTCTGAGGCAAGTATACATTTGCTTCAACAACAATTTTTCAGTTATTCAAAGGAGTCGACAGATGACATGTCGACGCATATTTCTAAATTGGTCAATTTAGGAAGGAAACTGAGAGTAGCGGGTGAACCAGTTACGGATAACATGGTTATGACAAAAATACTAATGACATTACCAAAAGAATATAATCATTTTTACAGTGCTTGGGATTCAGTCCCAACGGGAAGTAAAAATATAAATAATTTAACTAGTCGGTTGTTGATTGAAGAATCACGGGTTATCCAGATCAAAGGTGAAGTTGGTGAACAAGAGAAATCGAGTGCATTTCCAGCCAAATTTCAAAACAGATCCGATGGAAAAAACGGCAGTTATGGTAAAGGTAAAAAACAATTTACTAATAAAAGTAATGTTAAATGTTATTACTGTGGTAAAATTGGTCATTATAAAAGAAACTGTAAGAATTTTCTAAGTAGTATGAAAGGTGGGAAAACCGGTACTACAGGTACAAATTTAAATGCATTTGTAAGCGAGTCAAGGATAAATGAAACTACAACAGATACGTGGGTTTTAGACTCAGGCGCGTCGGATCATATGAGCGCGAACCTAGAATGGTTTACAAGTTATGAACCATTGAAATATACACAACAGGTAACAATAGGTGACGGAACAAATCTATATGCAACAGGAAAAGGTAATATTAATATATTATCATACGTGAACGGTAATTGGAATAAAAATTACTTGGCAAATGTATTGCACGTGCCGGGATTAAAATTTAATTTATTCTCGTGCGGGTCAGCGTTAGACAAAGGTTTAGAACTAACGTCAGACAATAAAACGTGTGTGTTCAAAAGAAACGGGATTCCTGTATGCATAGGCACAAGATGCGGTAGGTTGTTTGAATTACAGATCAAAGTTGAAGCACCATCGAAAGCTGAATGTTTTGCGAACATTGCAGTAGAAAAACGATTAGAAGTATGGCATAAGCGTTTAGCGCACCAGAATATTCAATACGTGAGGAATTGTTTGGCAAAACATAATATTGATTATTCAGCCAAGGACGATCAATTTGTATGCAGCGACTGCATAATCGGGAAACAACACCGTCAATCGTTCAGTAAAAGTGAGACCGAATATTTTAACGTCGGCGATTTAATACATGCAGATTTATGTGGACCGATGCAGAGGGACTCTATCGGTATGTCAAAATATTTTTTACTATTTAGAGATGACTACTCACATTACAGAACGGTATATTTTATTAAGAATAAATATGAAGTAAAAAATATTATGGAAACATTTATAAAAAGTGTTAAAACAGAAACAGGATCTAAAGTCAAAATATTAAGGACAGATAATGGGTTAGAATTTGTAAACAAGGATATTACAGGTATTCTACAGAAATATGGCATACGACACCAAACTACGGTAGCATATACGCCGGAACAGAACGGGAAAGTCGAGCGTGATAACAGAACAATCGTAGAAGCTGCCAGGACAATGATATGTGCAAAAAATCTTGACGTGTCATTATGGGCAGAAGCTGTGAACACAGCGGTTTATACACTTAATCTAACCGGAACGAGTTCGCAGATTGGTAAGCCACCTTACGAGTTATATTATAAAGTCGTGCCAGATATTAAACATTTACGAGTTTTTGGTACTGCGGTATATACACACATACCAAAGCAAAAACGTCAGAAATGGGATCCAAAAAGTGAAAAAGGAATATTTGTTGGATATTCGAACAGCACGAAAGGTTATCGTGTATGGTATTCGAAAACAAATAAAATATCCGTGTGCAGAGACATTATATTCGAAGACGAATGTAATAATTATGAAAATGTAATTGCAGACACATTAGAGTTTACAGACACTCAAATTAATTCAACGGGCGTGCGTGAGAAGGACGAAAATATAGTCGATGATAGAAATGTTATGGTTCTACGTGACAGGAATACACTTAAGAAGCCGGACAGGTATAATGTTCAGACTTTTATTGCTAACTGTGTCAGTCCATTGAATTATGATGAGGCAATTACTGGGTCAAACAAAAATGAATGGAATAATGCTATGAACGACGAAATTAATTCATTACACGAAAATCAGACTTGGACTCTAGTCGATTTGCCACAGGATAAAGTTGCATTACGAAATGCATGGGTGTTCAAAACCAAATATAAAATTGACGGTAGTATAGATAAATTTAAGGCCAGATTGGTCATTAAGGGTTGTTCACAGAAATATGGTATAGATTACCATGAAACATTTTCGCCAGTGGTCAGATACGAATCAATAAGGGCGATATTCGCAGTAGCAGCTGTGGAAAAATTAATACTACGACAATTCGACATCAAGACAGCATTTCTGTACGGGGAACTACAGGAAGAAATATACATGGTACAACCACCAGGTTACGAAGATGGCTCAAATCAAGTATGTAAGCTTCAGCGAAGTTTGTATGGCTTAAAACAAAGTCCAAGATGTTGGAATATACGCTTTAAGAACTTTTTGAATGCATTTGGTTTACAATGTACCGAAGCGGATGCATGTGTATTCAAAGCTGATAACAGCCAAATTATTCTTGCAATATTTGTTGACGATGGTTTAATCGCGGCAGATAATGAAGAGATAATAGAGAAACTTTTAACGAACTTGGAGAAAGAGTTTGAGGTTAAAAAGGGAAACTTAGAATATTTTCTAGGTATGCAGGTAAATATAATGAAAAATGGTTCATTATTTGTGCATCAGACAAATTATGCATGTAGCATAATTAATAAATTTAATATGCTGGACGCCAAGGAACTTTCAATTCCGATAGACAAATCACATACTATTGAACAAAAGGAAGAATCGGAGATATTAAGTGAAGAAATACCTTATAGGCAGGCAGTAGGTAGCTTACTGTTTTTATCGCAGGTGACGTTCAGACACGACGTTCAACGTCAGGATTTCTATTCAGATACGGGTCGAGCATAATTTCATGGACATCGCAGAGACAACATTGTGTGTCATTGTCATCGACCGAGGCTGAATATATTTCGGCCAGTGAAGCTGTAAAAGGGATCATGTGGATTACGCGGTTGATAACAAGCTTATCAACAACAGGTGACAAACAACCAGTTTTATTTATAGATAATCAGAGTGCTATACGTTTAGTTAAGAATCCGGAGTTTCATAAGAGGACAAAACACATAGACGTACGATATCATTTCATACGGGAGAAATACGAAGAAGGACAGTTCCAACTACAGTACATTGGAACAGAGGACCAGATTGCGGACATTCTAACCAAGCCTTTGGTTAAGGAACGATTCGAGAAGTTGCGGTCAGCCATAGGAGTGACTACAATTAAAGAAATTATTAATTGAGGGAGGGTGTTGAAATATACAATTAATATTAGTATTCAAACCATGTAAACACACGTGCGTGTACAATGTCGTTTTCTAATAGATACTTATGCAGTTACGATATAGCTGTGTAACACCTTTACTATCGCTTTCTATATTATATACGGATACGGGATGGCCTCGATTGTTCATATAAATAGGGCCTTTGATGTATGTAATATTCACTTGCACAGACGCTGTCATACCGAGTGTACGCGGTGTGTGTGTATAGTCACAGTTTAATTGTCCAGTTGTACGTTATTATATATTATACTTATACATAATCATATTGTCGTGTTATTACTTATTATATTAATGCTAACATAATTAGTCCGTCAAGCTTCACTTTCAACAATAAAATTATTCTTTTGAAGTTTACTATGTTAATTTTATTTATTTCAGATCATTTAACTAATTTAAATAAAAACTACCACATTATTGTGAATCAGCTGAACAATAATTTAAATCCTACTAGGCATTTAAGATTCAAATTTCTAGCCAATTCAATGCGAATCAAAAATGCAACTCAACAGCTAAATTTAGGATTGATTTCCATTTGGCAATTTTTGCAGAGATGTTCTTATGTCACTGAAGGGTATGAACAGAGACAACGGATTTGGGCTCTGCGGAACAATGACGAGATGGCCGATGAAGGACAGATTGAACATTTTGAACAAATACTACCTGACGAATTACCTTTAGAGGTTGAACTAAATGTTGGAGACCCACCAGCACGAAGGCCTAGAGAATTACCTTTAGAAGAAAGGGTTGATGTTGCTGATCCACCAGCAGAAAGTTCTGTATGCATGGTGTGTATGGTAGTAGGGGTAAATGGCACTGCTGCCGAGTATATAATTTTGCCATGCGGCCATGCATGGGTATGTGCATCATGTCTGGAACGCTTAGAGGTGCCAAACTCGGTTTCCTTTGTGCCGATTACCTAATATTTCCTTTCAAAGAATTTTTTTCTCTTAAATATGTTCAAGTAAATTATAAATTGTTAGATTGTATCATATTACCTATTATGTTATTATTAATTATAAGGTGACAAAATAAAAGATTAGATGTTGCCATAAGTTACATTTGTTTGTTATCTTAGTAATATTTTATTTAACTTGGTTTCACAGAAAATATAGTTTGGCAGTATATTTACTTATTAGTTATTGACATTTAGAACAAGTATAATAATAGTTTTAGCTATTTTTATGAAATATAGGTAACTGATTTAGGTACGCACTTTCATTATCCACAAATTGTTAAATTTTATTTCCATAAAAAATTCTAAGATTTCTACAACATAATAGAAATTAAATTCAAAATTTCAATTTTATTAGTTATACCATATGGAATTCCTACTTCAGAATAGTTGCTAAAACTAAATTGTATAATGTATATAGATATATATGTATTTGAGTAGATTTTCTTTTTAAATTGTTCATTTATATAATATAGATGTTCAACATTAATAAAAAACAGTATTTAAATATAATATGTCACACTAGGTAATTATATAAATCTAAGGTGTTGACATGCTTCTTATAAATTATATGATTTAAAAATTATCCAACATTAATTTGTCAATATTTGCCAAAAGTAGTAGAACAAAAAACATATTTATTATTAGAATTTTCCTTACTCCTAGTATTATATTTATGATTGATTCAAATTTAACAGAGTACATTTAAATAGAATATTCTTTTATGAAAATGGCATTTAAACCATCAACTGTAAGTTTGGAATAAAGATAATAAACTGAGTAAAGTCTGGGTCTATTTAAAAATATTCTTAACAAGTTATTTAAAGTTATGTTTAGTGGGTAAAAGTTTGATATAAAAGCAGATCCCCAAATACATATTCCATACCTAATTATAGATTGAGCTAGTGCAGTGTAAATTATCCTATTATTATGAAGATTTAGTTTTTTTTAATATTTTAAATTTATAAAATAATTTTCTAATAAAATTACAAATATGGTATGTTATGTGCTCTTTCCAATTACGATTATGATCAAAGACAATGCCTAAATATTTTATTTTGGAAACATTTTCAAGTAAACGGCAATCACAAATTCCATTTTACTTCAACAATTTTAACTATGAGCTATAACATATTTCTAAGGTATCTACATTAGTATTATTTATACTAAAAAACATAGATTTAGATTTGTTAATACTAAGTTCAAGAAAATTTTTATCTAACCAGGCTTTAATTTTGTTGATACATTTATTAGCTAAGCTTTATAGATTGTCAATATTATCATGTTCAAGGTAACACTAATGTATCATCTGCAAAACAAATTACCTAACCATTAATTTTCAAATTAATAAGTCCATTAATGCATATAAGGAATAGTATAGGTCCTAAGACGGTACCTTGAGGAACACCACAGTTAACAGAAATCGAAAAACTAAAGCACTCATTAATTCTAACTACCTGTGTTGAGTGTTTATTTGAAAGTAAGATGAGAATAGTGATAGAGCAATTTTGCGGATACTGCAATACTTTAATTTCTTTATAAAAATATTATAGTTGACCGACAAATCAAATTCTCTTTTTAATTCAAGGAACATGCCTATTACCTTATTTCCTTTATCTAGACTTGAATGAAAGAAATTTGAAGTGTGCAGTAGATCATTATTAGCAGGGGTGAAAGTGGGGAGACACAGGAGGACTCAGTCTTCCTACCTATGACGGTGGTTCAAAAGCGTCCCCTTTAACAAATTAGGATTTTATACATTAGACATTATTCATACAATTATATATGGAACTCTTAAAACTATATGGAGACATTAGTCCTCTCTAGAAATTGTTCACACTTTAACTCCTGACCATTAGTTAGATATACCTTTCCTGAACCCAGACTGACTATTAGAAAAAAAAAATTATGATTATTTAAGAAATTTACTAATCTATTTTTAAGACATTTTTGAAATAGATAGGATGAGAGACTAAGAGAGGTAGGCCTATAATCAGGAAAATTTTCAGAACCCCCTGATTTATATGAAGGAATGATAAGGGATTTTTTAAAATTTTGTAGGAAATATTCCAGATGCCTTATTATAAAAAAATATTTAAAGGTATCGATCTAGTTTTCCATTTATTCTATTTACCATCAAAAAAAGAGGAATTTTATTTTATTTTTATAATATTTTCTTCTATTTAATTTAAAGTAATATGTGTTAAGAAGATGGAGTCACTAATTTGGCATTTATCATGCATAACCCCTATACATTTCTGTAACCATTAAATAAAAGTATGAAATATTATTTCAAACATTATGTGTTTAATATGTTTATAGTCACAAGAAAAGGGATTAGCAACATCTTTGATTAGAGACCAGATCTTTAAGCAATAAGATCCTGTATTTAATCTAATAATTAGCTTTCATATTAAATGGATTTTTCAGTTTTTTTCTGAATCATTAGGCATAATTAATATGTTACGTCGCCGTCGTCACGATATACATTATAAACCTATTTTTTTTTTTTTAAACGTGACCATTATTCTATTGTTTGAATAGTTTTAAATTAGTATCTTTAGTAGCTTACAGAGACCAAATGTTGGTTATAATAAATAATAATATAGGTACATTTTAAATTGCCTATTTAAAACCCCCTAAGAATGTTTAAACCATATTATATAATTGTAGTTATAAATTACACCACTTGATTACGTTAGTATCATTTAAAATTATAGGATTCCGCGATTATACGGTCCGGCCTAATACGGTTCGAAAAATATTTTATTCCTCATTTCTACGGTCCACGACTATACGGTGTACGTCTTTTTTTTTCCGCGAGAATACGGTCCGGGAATATACTTTCCAGATTTATACGGTCCGTGACAATACAGTTCACATATTTTGAAATTTCGCAACTATACGGTCCGGCATAATACTGTTTGAAGAATATTTTATTCCTCATTTCTACGGTCCGGGACTATACGGTGTACGTATTTTTTTTTCTGCAAGAATACGGTCCGGGAGTATACTTTCCAGATTTATACGGTCCGTGACAATACAGTCCACATATTTTGAAATTCCGTGATTATACGGTCCGGCATAATACGGTTTGAAGAATATTTTATTCCGCATTTCTACGGTCCGCGACTATACGTTTTTGTTCCGGATATATACGGTCCATGTGAATACCAGAATACGTTCCGAGATTTTACGGCCCCCCAATTTAACAACCCAATAGTAAAAACCAGAAGTCAAAACGAAATTTTATCTCAATTTAACAATACCCATAACGGTCATAATCGATAATAACAAGATAGATAAACTATACTATTAGAAAAAAATAAAGTATCGTATTATCACTCCCACCGGAACACCGAGTGTCAGTGAACGACTAGGAAAGCAGCACCGCGCTGCTGTATCAGCTATTAATATTATAAAAATAACATTTTACAATTTACCATTATGGTTACACAATATATCATTGGTTACTGATTCCTGGTATACGGTCTTATCACGTATTAGTAGGGGCATCAGGTACTTTTCCCGAAATTTCATGGAGAGGAAAAAAAAAAAAAAAAAAAAGAAACCAGTGAATTCCCGAACATTTGTACCAACATAGAAAACAAAATTCCCTACAAATTATTATAATTAATTTATATATTTGGTGGAAATATTTATTTTTATTTATTTTTATATTCAAAAATTATCGTATAATTATGGGGCGGTTCAAATATTATTGTATAATTCTAAAAACCACTTTATTGACAATTTTTAAAAATTCTGTTTTATTTTTTAAAGGAAAAAGTGCACTTAACACTTGAAACACACATCACTAAGAGATCTAAGTGGGTAAAAAGTTATAAGTGCATAATTGCAAAACTAAATCAATTTTAGTTGATATACTACACCATAATAATACTACAGATTAAATGTTATGTACTATATCACATACCAAGTTTTTGCAAACATTGAAATTATTGGAAAAAATTAAGTTGTGTGGTGGAGATGTCACATGGAATGCTATGTACTAGCCCATATTTATGAGGGGGCAACGGGGACATTTTGGCCAAATATTTAGGGGGGCAGCCGGTCACCGCTGTGGCTCTGTAGTCCAGTGTAATATTTTTTTGGAAAGAACTTGTACTATGATTTGTACCATAATTTGATGGAGTAATATTTTGGGGAAAAAAAATTATAATCATAATACCTATTATATTCTTTTTTGTAGATTTTTTTTACTGTGTATAATAAAATACTATATTTTGTTATACCTTATACCTACATTTTAATAATAGTAATTAAAACATGACGAATTGACAGTTAAAGTGTATTAAGAAAAATCAAAAAAGTGGATCTATTTTTTGGTGGGGTTGGGGCTTAAAAATATGGTTACCCAGGGCGCGAAAATTGTAACATACTGTGTTTAAGTGGAGCAAATTATCAATTTAAAGTTAATATAAAAAAAATTACAAACTTTACTCAATTAAAAACAAGTTCGGTACAGGTTTGTTATCCATACACAGCAATACATTTAGAGATTTAGATATATATGTATGATTATTAGATATAATTATGTATAATAATATATTTTAACATGTAAATTAATTTTACAAACATGGTTTAATAGTTGAATATATATTTACAAGCAAACATTGTTTGCACACATTCTTTAAGCCAGAGGTCGGCAAGTAATTTCTATTGGAGTCCTAAAGATTAAAATAATAAATCAATGAGGTCCAGTGTTAATCTTTGTCAAATCTTTATATTTAAAAAATAGCAGTATTAAATTAAAAATAATTATCCAGTTGGTATTCCAATTAATTTATATTAAAAAATTACAATGCCTATTAGGTAAATAATAATAATAATAATAATTTAACGCTGTCTGTATATTTGGTATTTTCGCGATTCGGTTATTGTAATAAAACAGAACAGATTATTACCTACCTGAAAGAATATTTGCAATGAATTATGATACAACTATAATCTGAGTTTGATAAACGAAATGAAATATATATTTTCTATTAATAATTATAGTAAAATAATAAAATAATAATAATACATAGCATATACTTTTACAGCAAATAACACAGTTTAAGCTAATGCTTGAGTTCATAATATAGTTACAAAGTAATAAAAAATGTCTATAAATACTTGATTAATACTTAAATAATATTAATTATATATACATTGTATTTCGTAAAAATTCATACTAAATTAATCTTCTTCATTATAGAAAATTGTAAAATATGTTTATAATAAATAAGTGAATTGATTAATATTTATTACCATTTTCCTACTAAGCGAAATGATTTAGGCAACTTTAATTACAATTGTAGTATTTATATATTTTTTTTAAATTTGGTATTATAGTTTTGCTTACAAGTTTATGGTTTTGAATTATGGTCAAATATGATGCAGTTTATACAAAACATTTTGAAAATATTATAAAATTTATAAATTCAAACTCATCTTTAAATAGTACTCCATCATCACCGATAAGAGGTTATCCTCAGTGGTGAGATGGGCCATTTAACTATGTAATTAATATTCAATTTTTGGCCAATAAATATTATTATTAATAAGTTGGTAAATACGTTTGATGCTTAAAACTTAATAGTAAAATACATTTAGTGAGAATCTTATCAAAATCTAAGATATTTAATTCTTTAATAATAAATTTAGTACAAGTAAGAATAGGAACTTTTAAAATAAATTTAATAAATTTATTTATAGTGGATTTTAATTTGTTCAAGTGGATTTCATAAGCACCACCTCATAGGTATATCAATACCAAATACAATTATTGATTGAATGAAGAAAACATAAATAATTCTAAGTTGTTGTTTATCAAGAATAAACCTTAGGCCTTTAAAAACATAAAAGAATTTACGACCTAAATTTATGATATAGTTTATATGTATGCTCTATTTTAATTGGGGCTTAATATATATTCCTAGATATTTGATAGAATAGACACCTTCAATATTATTAGAAAAACAAATTATTCAAAATATTATTAAAACTAGAAGTATTACTTCCAACTATATTAATAAAACTATTATTTTAAATTATATCTTTTAAATAAATTTTGTTTGAAATTTAGGTACTGGTCTAGTTGACCCGCCAGGAAGGCAATTCCCCCGCCACTCAAGTTTAGTTGACGCTCTCCACTTACCTACATCTCTCGTATTTTTGATGTTATAAAATGTATAATATACTAATATACTGCAGAGTGCGGATAAAAAAGGTACGAAATCATATACGTTAGGTATTTGTGTGAAATTCTCTAATTAGATATTTTAAGAATTATGTTTGGTAAAATCCGTGTAGTAAAATGAATTATATAAGATAGGTATCAGAGCAGGTGCGGTATATAATATTATGAAGTATTACCATATTTTTTATATATTTTTATTTTGATCGCTTGAATTGTTCATAATTGTATAATTTTTAATAAATGTATAATATTGTATAAATTATGAATAGGGTTCGGATTTGAAGGCAATATAATCAATAAAAAAAGCATTTAAAATGTAAAAAAAGGCAAAAAAAGGCAATTAATTATATAAAAAGGCAATTCATAAATATACTACAAAATAAAATAGTGAACATTTTTTAAACAAATTTAAATGCACACATTTTGAGAAAAATACAAATTAAAAATGAACATGAATACTAAACTACATTAAGTTTATGCTATTTTGTATAAATAGATTAGATACCTTTTTCTTTAACCAGGTTTGTCCTAAGAATTAGTTAAAAACAATTTTAAATATTAACTTACTTGAGTTATACCAGTTAATTTAATGCAAAATAAACAAAAGGTAAAAAAAGGCAAAAAGGCAAAAAAAGGCAAAAAAAAAAGAGATCCATTCTCTAAGAAATTAAATGAAACACATTTTTGTATAAAAATTATTTTTCTATTATGATTAATAAAAAAAAGGCATTTGCCTTCAAATCCGAACCCTAATTATGAATTATTGATTATCGAAAATACAAATTGTAAGTGGCGGGCGTCAACTAAACTTGAGTGGCGGGGGAATTGCCTTCCTGGCGGAGGTCAACTAGACCAGCACCAAAATTTAGAAAATTTATGTCTGTATAATGTATTACAATCGTTAACATTTTGTCAATAAATTCTATCCATAATATGTTTTTGTTAAAAAATAAGTAAATAAAACACCAATAACAGTTAAATATACAAAAATTAACAGTAAGGATAAAAATTAATTGGCTGAAAATAAAAACTTGTGATTGTCCAAAGAAGATGTATGAGCTGAATCATAGTTGAAAAGTCAATGTTAGTTCCAAGATATTCTTAATATTCTTTACCTTGTTTATGCAAAACTAAGCTTTGTTGACTATAACAAACAAAAAAACAAACTAATTAATATAAGATTTGTGAATAATATACCTATTATAAGTGTAACATAAGTACATCACTTTAACCATTGAAGTGCTATGTAAGTAACTTAAATGATGAATATAATAAATAAAAAGCAGTATCAAAAACTTATTCAGGTAGGCTCGAGTAAGAAAAACTCTTGTTAACTAATGTCATTCTAAAAATCATTATATATAATAGAATATGTTATATTTGCCATTTGGTGCACAATATTATAATAATTCTTTGAAGTTAAGCATACAGGCTACAATCGACTAAACATTACAACAAAGTACTTAGGTATGTGAAATATAACTTAAACTTAATTTTGTTAAAAAAATTACCTACTTTTATTCAAATAAAATTACAATATCATAATATTAATATTAACTATCTAACATTACCTTAAATAATTGTATAATGATGAATTGGAGCAGCACTGCATTTTTCCAAATAGGTTATCTCCTCGAGGCTCAGGCACATTCCTACATCACTCACTATTGTTCCCTCTTGACTAGAACTAAAACACTAAATTAATTAATACTACAAAGTACAGAGAGATAAATATCACTACAAAGCTTACTTGATATGTTATGAATCATGAAGATTTGAATGTTTGATTATTGTAGGTGGTAGTAGTCTTTCATCAATGGACTTGCTCCTTCATTAGGTAATTCATTATTGTCAATATTATACCTATAGTAATAGGTGTTTGAGACTGGAGTCATTGGGGTACCTTCCTTCCATTTTTCATGAGGCAGCTACCTCGTAAACAGCTTTTCACGCTTCCACTAAATATAGGGATTATAGGGATTATAGGAATTTTAACGGTATACAGAACTTACATGATTTGAGTAATGATGGTTTGAATGTGATTGTTGCTTGTAGATAGCATATGTTTAACTTGGTTCTCGCAATAGTTTTAATTCTTTGTCGAATAAATTGTACCTACAAGTAATTACACTGTAGTTTAAAATAAAATACTAAATAATACACAAGCAGGTTAGTAAAAACTATGTACGACTTACGGAAGTCACATGAAAGGTGAACTGTTTAGATTTGTAATTTGTATACTGCACAAGGACAGGTAGTGAACATATTAATTAATTATATAAAACCTACTTAAAATAGTAAAAAGTAATTAATACATTTTAAATTTTATAAATTCAATAAAAATTAAAAACTGAGTTCAAATATTAACGTATAATAATATTATTGATATAAGATACGAATTACGAACATAACCTCAATATTGTTGTCATTTGAAACGGTAACCATATAAAACCTGAACCGTGGTTACAGTGATTAATGATCCGTTATCATAACTTATAATCAATGATTTTTGATAAAGCGTGTTTTGTAGGATTTTTTTGATTTTTTAATGGTTTTTTGAAGCTATCTATTTAACTTCAAAAAAATTCGTTAAGCCGATCATTTAAATGGAATCTCCATAAAATTCCCTATCGATAAACATACGGTTTGACCATTTATCGTTCTCCTATCTGGGATTAATCTCATCCACAAATAGACGACCACAATAGTTCTGAAAAGAGTAGATACTTATTTTGTATATTCAACTAATATACTAATACTACAATACTATTTTATAGAATATACATCATCTATCATTTACTTATTGACTATAACTATTGTCCTATTAGTAGATTTTGAGACATGTCATATTATAGTATTATACATGCACAACAAATTGCATTTAATTTTAATCATTTTCGAGATGTTGATGATTGAAATCCTAAGTTCATCAGTTAATAATTATACATATAAACAATTGTTCATATTTAAACCTCTAATAGATTTATTATGGATGTGATTATAAGAATAGGTAACTACTTATTAAAACCTATAAAATAATAGGTCAATTCACTCTAATATATGTATTTGAGCTAACAACACAAAATTGGATGTATATTTTGAACTACTAGCTCCTTCAAAATAAGTCGTATCGTTATGAAATCTTCAAGGATCGAAGCAGACAACCCTCGAGATAAAATTTATTGTCTCAAAAAAGCCGCGACTCGATTTTAAGTTTGAGAAATTGGCAAAAGAAAATTTCCCGCCAATTTTATTTTTGAAAAAATCAAATTTTGAACTCAACACTCACCCCCTTAATATTTGAGTTTCAATACTTTTAAAAAGTGGGAACTAGTCTAGAGACGCTTCTGCTTCGATCCTAGAAGGTTTCATACAGATACGACTTATATTGAATGATTTAGGTTCAAATTTAGGTTCAAATCTGCTGGAACACGAGGCACAGTCTTGAACGTCCCATCAATCCCAACCAATGTCACAGTGGCCAATTCTTCTCTGTATTTGTTGACTGCATCCATGTTCGCAAAGATCACACCAACACTCCTTCCATTGACGACCAATGCTTGTTGAAAGAACCTAGTAATAATTTTTAAAATACAATTTTTAGTAATTTGGAACAGTTTACCCTAAAATAATTTAATACAATACATTATTCAATTTGTAACTGTATGGTTAAGTATTCACAATTACAAATACCATGGTACCAATAATTTTAATATTTGTTTGTAACTGAATAATAATTAGGTGCAATTTGCACTGTCAGCAACTAAAAAAACAATTTTCAGTATTCATTTATAGTATGGATTGTTATTCATATTCATTTATTTTATGAACGGATAAATAGTATTAAATTTAATAGATTTATAGTAATATAGACCTTTTCTGTATGGATATTTGTAGTATAAATGCTAATCTTGATAAATTAATTTTAATGCTTAGTAGTGTTAGTGGTAAGTTTGACGTAATAATATTAAGTGAGACCTGGATGTATATTGAATTTAATAAAATTATGGCGTCACAATTTTTATTGAAAATAATTTTAAGCTCATAAGTATTTCAAATAAAGTAATATCTTGCAATACAAATTGAATTAGATAAAATGAAAATTTCAGTAATAAGTATATACAGGTCACCACAAGATATTATTGATACCTTTATTTCCAATTTGAATACATATTTAGAGCAATTAAATAATAATAATATTCACTATGTCATAGCAGGAGACATTAAGAGGACGCCACACCCGCATGTGTTGTCTCCGTCTTACAAACGCGTAACATAGCAAATTACGTCCACGGAAAACAAACGAATCGGCATCAAAAAGTGGTTTTAGAGTAAAAATACCTATAATAAAACTTAAAGAGAACAATATTTTGGAGGGAACCTCATAGGCGTTTTTAAAAATATTAACTATTAAAAAAGTTGTGGTTATTTAAAAAAATTAAAAAAAAAAGAGTTTTTGTGCCTTCAATATCTAGCTGTGTATTTAGATTAATACAAAACCCCTATGAGGTTCCCTCCGAAATATTGTTCTCTTTAAGTTTTATTATAGGTATTTTTACTCTAAAACCACTTTTTGATGCCGATTCGTTTGTTTTCCGTGGACGTAATTTGCTATGTTACGCGTTTGTAAGACGGAGACAACACATGCGGGTGTGGCGTCCTCTTAATATTAATGATTCACTAAATTCTACTGATTATCTTAATGTAATGGCCAGACAATTTCATATGTATAAATAATACTACTCGAGAAACCACAAATTTAAACACATTTTTTTACAAAAAATATAAATGTAATAATTTGCAAGCATGAATACTTAAATGTCAATCGCTGACCACTATGGCACAATACTAAGTTTTAATGCTCAACCAATAGACTTTAATCATAACAAACAAACTAAATTCAAAAATGTTGTTTACAAAATCAACATTAACATTAACTATTTAAATACAACTTAAATATAAGAAAAGTGTTAATGTAATTAAAACAAATAGTAAAAAACATTTTGGATTAAGAAGTTGTAGTAATACTGCAACTGAGCTATGTATGTCATTAAATATTAATTTTTAATACTTATCAAAATATTTTTTGTTTTAAAAATGCTTTACTTAAAATCTTAATAACGACCAAGACATAAGGAGTATTAAGTATACATTGTTTTGTTTGAAATTTATAATTGTTATAATAGTGATAATACTGATAATAGTATATAGGTACTGTACATTTAAGATTTTAATAAGTGTTAACTTATAAATTTCAACATCAACTTAGAAAATTTTCTTAAATTTAGATTGAAATTAAAATTAAAAACAAAACAAATTTATTTTTTGTTATTCTAAATTAATAAATATTGAATACTAATATTACGGTAGTTATTAATGAAGAATAAAGATACAGCATAAAACTAAGTAGTTTTATACTGTACTGTATTATACGTTCCAACCCTGATAAATAAAGATTAAATATAATTCATACAGCAAAAATAAAAAGACAAATAAATGTGTCCATAAAATATTATAAAATGTTGTAATACAATCATAAACATCTACCAGGAGTAGATAAATTTCTATACACTTATGTAAGTAATATGTACATTTTTTGTTGGTTCCTACTTGTTAATTTAAAATTCAATAAATTAATATAAGATTCACATACACTATTACCATATATGGCTAATTATATAATAGCTTATTAGTAAGACTGAGGACTTAAAGTACTTCTAAACCTGAAAATATTTATGCACTAAAAACAACAACAAATAATACGCATTTAAAATATGCTCTAAAAAAATGTATGACTTTTGGTACATACTTAAATTATACTATCAATATGAAAACAAAATATAAAAAAGATAGTTTGATTATTTACTTTATACAAACTTGAAATTACTAATTAAGTGTTGCAGTATTATCGATCAGATAATATACAGTTTTGCTGCCATTAACCTAGTACTGTTATATTTTTAAATATTACATTTTCTAAACGTATACATAATATTATGCTCTTAATTTGGCAAACACCAACATGAAACTCTTAGCATAGACAAAATATGCAAAATACAATTTGTAGTGTAACTTACTTGTATTATGATTTATGAAACATATTTATATTTTATACATCACTCACGTTGATCTGCGACCTTTTAAGTTAAATATGAAAAACTAGAAGTCCTCAGCCCTACTTATCAGTTATAACTTAAAAACTTTAAACAAACAAATATATTTACCTAGATGGAGGATTTTGAACTGTAAGAGCGTAAATGGCATTTCGTGCTTCATTCAGTGCCACTGCAAGTTGTCCAATATCAAGGGGTTGCGCTGGGAATCTTCTACGTCTCATCTTTTTCACTCGTTCTTGAGCCTGAATAAATGTGTAGTTAGGAGCTGCTTCTGGATGGCTAACAAAACCAAAAAATCAGTTAATAAATAATTTTGCATTGTTTATTATTAATTATGGGTAGTAGGTACCTATAGTTAACTGAAACTACCTAATACTAACCTTATTACTAACAAGTAGTAAATAATAATTTAGTATATATAGATAACTTTGAATACGACTCACTTGATAATTTCGTTGTTGTACAAAGTTCTCATAAATGATGTTGTAACTGCTGGATCAATTCCTATTTCACCTATGGTTTCCCTCAAAAACGGCACATTCAGGTCGATCACTCTGGGCGGATGGTCGTGGTAGAACCCTAGACGAATTCTGTTGTCGTTCAAATTTGCACTAACAGTTGCAGTGGAAGGGCAGTACTGGTTCCGTTGCTTCTGCCGTTCGCATACTAAATACCTATAAAATATAAAAACATTATTTATGATTAGCCATAATTTTATTATCATTACCCAAATAGGTAGGTAATTATATTGGATAAACTATTAAACATACACGCGTTGTCCTTTAGTTTCTCGTTTGTAATACTTGAATCCCAGGTTGTCAACATATATCCTCGATCGGTTATGAACCCCAGGAATCAATCTGTATGTTTCCGACACTCTGACAATTGGTTCCTCTTCCTCTTCCTCGTCCAATTCTTCTACTTCTTCTTCTTCTACCAATTCCTCTACTTCTTCTTCACGCAGTATATGATCATCTTCATATACAACTGGCAGGAAGTAGTCATGGTCAACCAAATGATCTGGGAGAGCAAATACTTCCTCGTTGTCCATTATTATTAATATATAACTAGAATCAGAACACCAAAAATACAAAAAAAAAAAAAAAAAAGAGTAGTTATGTTTATAGTAGGTAAGAAATTGAAAACAAATGTAATAAGTAACAACAAAACAAAAACGTTTTAACAATAAAGTGTGAAAGCACGAGCTGGGTTTTTGGTATGAACTATGTTCAAAGTTTTAGTATGAACTATGTTCAAAGTTTTAAATACTTAGGTAAATCGTAGGTAAATCACAAGTGAATCGCAGGTGTATCGCAGGCAAATTGCAGATAGACAGATCTATATAAAAAATTGAATTAATTAATATCACAGATATCATAAAATATTTAATTAATATAATAATTTTTTTGGTTACATTTACATAATATTACAATCGTTTTATGAACGATTTATAACATAATACATAAATAAGTATTCACTTTACATAATATTATACTGAAGTTGTTTCAGTTCAAAACATACATAATTTAGGTAATCAACATAAGATTAATTACTAATATTATTTTTGATGTTTTCCACAATAAATTAATTATGCATAAGTTTAGAGTTATTTGATACATCATCAAAAAATAGGCAATATTGTAGATCCTCTTTAACAGGCCAAAAAATGAATTCCTATCATCGCCATCATTAAATATTTATCTCAAAATATATTTAACTGAGGAGTTCACACATAGTAAAGTTAAAAATAGTGAACAGAAACTCAACTTTTCCAAACAAGACTGTACAGTTTGTTAACACACAAACACTTTTATTTTTATTATTATTTTCTTGTATAACACTACCTCTACCAATTAAGGTCTATTCAAAATTTGTAAACATATTATTTAAAAAAAGTAAAAAGTGGCTTAGGTTTTTTATTCTGGTATTAGTATAAATATAAACTTTTTGTTAATTAAATTATAGGGGTTATTATTTATATGATATCATATCTTAAAATTAAATTTAAGACACAATATTATGATTTATGCTTGACTTTGAATACTATTTAAATACTTTTTTAACTTAAAATAAGGGCCTACAAAACCCAGAATGGTTTGAAAATACTAATTAGTGACTAAGTTTTGATCTATAGCCGTCCTACAATAATCCCATTTTTTTGCACAATTAGTAGCCTAAACAACACATCAAATATCCATTAAAATATGTTTAACCATGTAATACAACAGTTATGGTTAAGTTCAGTATTTCAGGAGTGTCATCAAAACAGCCATCACCAGCCAATGACTAACAACAAGGTCCATGGTTTTTACTGCATGAAATTTATTTGGAAAATTTTTGAGAGCAGCATTCTGTGTTTGAAAATCTGCAATTATAAAAAATTTAAATAATTTGTACCTTGTTACAATCAATTTGCATAATTCTGTCGAAGGTACGAATACCCAAAACTCTAGTATTTAACTTCAATATTGACATTAGAAAAACTGACATAGGTAATCATTAATTGTACACATAATACTTAATATAGAGTTATATTAATATTTAATAATTTGTAATTATCAGTGGGATGTTTTATAAAATTATTTCACTTTTATAACATAACTCTCCGCACCCCAAAAGTAAAATTTTAAATACTTACGTCACTGCGAAAGCACGAGCTGGGTTTTCGGTATGAACTATGTTCAAAGTTTATAGAACGACAATAATGCGTAAACGGTAAACAATAGTAAGCACAGTAAGCACAGTAGGTAAGCAGTAGGCACTAGGCAGTAGTTAACAAATAACCATAACGAGAGTCGGTACGGCAAAGTTCAAGCGTTCAATGGCTGTCCATCCGTTCATCCGCTCATATTATGGGAAAGTGGGAAACTGGGAAAACCGCCGGCAAAAACCGTTACAAAACACAACAAAAGCATTAAGCAATAAGGCGGGAACAAATACATATTTTAATATGTATTTTTTCAAGGTGGTACATTTAGGAATACTAAATTCTGAATTGAAAATTTGAACTTATTTGATGTTGGCAAGGTCGGGTTATCATTCTTTTTTTTTTTTTCTTTTTTTTTTCCTCGCCATGAAATTTCGGGAAAAGTACCCCAAGCCCTATTAGTAGATAAACGATAATAAATGCCGGGAAACTGTTTCTGAAAGCATGTGGTTATTGGTTAATCGTTAATGTTAGTTTCCCACTATCAAATATGGAATATTAATTATTATTCTTTGAACGTTGAACCACAGAATACGTTTTAAGTAAATACTAAATTATTTGTATTATTTAAAATATAAATTAAAAGTTCAAGCCAATTATTCCAATGCATACCTAATATATTTTTTGAAAGTGTTTTAATGTTGTATTTTGGTTAGCAAATTTGAAACGTCAAACATCACCAAAAACATATGTTTTGCCATCTTGTTGGCCAACAGTTATGCCTAGTGACATGGATAAGCTTAGCAATTCATTATCGAATCTTAATTTTTAATAAACTGAAATAAAAACTACCTATTATTAATTAAACTTATTTCAATGTCTTGAACTTATTAATCCTACTGACTAGTGGCTTCTAAAAGACTAAATACTTATCAATAAAATAAAAAAATGTAAATTATATCTTCAAGGTAATACTTAGTCATAATTCGTATATACCATACCTATAGTACCAATACCGGCTATACCATTAACAATATTTACATAATTTAAATAATTAATTTGTATACCCTGGAACAATATTGTATACCTTGGTTATTAACTCTTAAGTTATTCACTATCAATGTTTTCAGTGTGTAACTGTAATCAATAGATTATTATTTCTAATGATCTATTAATATTGTTCTATGTATTATTTGTTCAGGTATAATTGAACATAATATTTTTAATTAAAATGTAAAAATGTAAATTTAATTAAAACAGACAAACACAAACACAATACTTGTAAGTACTCAATTAAAGTTTATTAATAATTTATTTTAATAAATGTTCAAATTGATGACCATTTACTTCCAAACAAATTGCCAGTCGTCTAAGCAATTCATTTGTAGTAGTTTTCACCAACACATGACTTGGGATATTTCAACAAGCATCTTCAATTTTTTGTTTAAGATCATTTACATGAGCAGGCAGTTCTTTGTAAACTTTGAAGATAACCCCAAAGAAAATAATCCGGCGAAGTCAGATCGGGACTACGAGGTGGCCAACATATTTTTGGACTGTACGTTCCCATCCAATTAGTAGGTACCAAAAGTGCAATTTAAATACTGTATGACAGTATTTTTATTATGGGCTGGTGCACCGTCCTGCTGCCAAACTAAATTTTTGCGTCTAGATAATGGTATGTCCTCCAAAAGTATGGGGAGTTCAGTTTTTAAAAATTCTAAATATTTATCGCCATTTAAATTTTCAGAAAAAAAAATGGACCAATCAATTTGTCATAAAAGATTCCACACCAAACGTTTATACCATAACGTTCTTAAAAATTCTTCTCAGTGTGCCAGTGAGGATTACCATTTGACCAATAACGCAAATTCTGACTATTTACATTGCCATTGCAGTACTGATACTGATTATTTTTTTTAAATTAGTGAAAAAAGTGACAAAAATATTTTAAATAGTGAAAAAAGTGACCAATGTTTTTTTTTAATTATTCAAAAGTCATCATAAGTTATTTTTAATAAATGATGCAAGTAACTAGCTAACTATTTTAAATAACATGAAAAATATATTATAATATACATTTATCTTTCCACTTAAGTAATCAAATTTAAGAACACCATGAAACATCAAGACATAAACATTATTTAAACTATAAAATGATTTATAATATTTCCATATCTATTTTTATTACATGTATATTTCAGTTTCAACAACTCACCCAAACATCTAACTAAAAAGAAAAAACGTCTATATCTAGATATCACGTTGTTCTCCCTGGCAGCCGGATACCAAACTAGCAAACACTAAGAAAGAGCTGTTAGGTCGTGGGGGTGCGTCCAAGGGCGCAGTTATTGTACAACCAAAAATTTTGTTAATAAATCACAACCGTTTTCCCGGGCAACACCGGGTTATTCAGCTATAGTTGTACATAAATTCATATTTTAATAAACCTGACTAATATATGTATAGGCAATATATAAGATGAAACAGAAAGAGCTGACTAAAAAAACAAAGATAAATATATGTTATAAAATAAGAAAAATTGTATTTTACTATTATTTATTACACATTGACAAAAAATTAATCAACAAACAGTGGCTTTGAATGTTTCAAAATGTTAACGATTACAAGGATTGCTGCAGAAACGTCATCTTTTGTATGCATTCGTCCAGATAAAGATTCTAGAATAAAAAAATTTCAAAAATTATTTATATTAAGAACTATTATTATAACAATATATTATAATCAAGTATAAATTTGCAACCCCTGAAGTTTTCATATTTATGGTTTTTCTTTAGTAAAAAAATTGAAATAGATTAGTTATTATTAAGTTATGAAAAAAAAATTGTTAGGGAAAATTTAAATTATATTTTAATATTTTATCAATTCTTCGACAATGAAAATACTAATGATTACAATTAAATAAAAATTAATTTAATATTGGTTGACTATTTTAGTTGTTATTTCTTGACATTCAAGGGTCAGATACAAATTCATTGTTAAAATCAATGAAAACATTTGAATTTTCATTCTGTGTATATTTTTTCAGAGAAATTATATCCATCACCCATATTTTATCAAAATATATACAAAGCTCTAGTATTGATTATTCTAGTGTACATCGTGTTTTAAATAATATCTTTATATATATAATTCTACTGTAGGTGTGTTTGTAACTGAACTCCTCCTAATAAGCGGCTGGACCGATTTAAATGAATTTTTTTTTATGCGTTTGGGCGACGCCCTGGGTGATTTAGATTAGGACCCGGTAAGTCCACCCCGTAAAAGTGCTAAAACAGAGATTTTAAGATTTACGATAGATATTTTTGTTTATAAATGGTTGCCATGGGTTTTTAATAATAATTACTGGTTGCCGTTGGTTGAAAATTGTGGCTATTGATTATTTGATTATAAGAGAAATAAGTATTTTAAAGTAATGAGAGTTGTATTAATGTCCGGCAATACTTGACATACTATTGCACATTGTTCGCCATCTGACGTAGTCAGATTGCCTACCAGGGTGGCTGAATTGCACTTAGTGCTGGGAATTTCATCCAAAACGATTTGAACAATCACAATTTTTTAAAGGGTTGTCATTTTTTAAGGGCAACGAAGTGCCACTGATTATAATAGTTAGATATTCATTATAAATATACATGAATAACGAATACAGCAACAATTCATATTGGAACTAGTAGGAATCTCTGAAAAAATAATATAAATTAAAATTTAACCTTGTTGACATTAATTTTAGTGATTTACCTGCAGGGAAAATATTGTTTTCCATTGCAGCAGTAGGTGTTACATTACTATTATCCTCATCATTTGCATTTTCAACATGATTTGATGTTACTGTAGGTTCAAACTAAAATATTGAAAAAATTATATTTATACTAATTATCACAAATATGAACTAATATTACAGTGTTTATATCAATTTTATAACTGATGTAATCGTCATCATTCTCATCGATGATGTAACTGTCATCCATTTCTATTTCTTTACAAAAATCAACAATCTAAAAAAAATATTTATAATTAATAAATATATTTTGAGCATCAAGGTTAACAATGAGATTGATTTAGTTACGTACTAATGAATTAGATACAACTTTAGCAGCAACTTGATTAATTGAATGTAGATTAACTGGAACATTATCAAACGCACTTTCTGTGTCTGCCGAATGAATTGGTAAACAATCATTGTTAGAAGTTCCACTTAAATTATTATTTATGGTGTCCTGTGTGAAATATTAAACAATTTTATAATTTTAAAATCACAAAAGATATATTTTGAGTAGCATTGTTATTTTACCTTATTTAGAGTTAATGTTGCTTGACCTTTATAACCAACTATATTTGCAGTATTTTCATTCTCATTCTCCTCTGTACTACTTGTATCTGTAGGTGCTGAGTTGCAATCCATATTTTTATTTGTGTTTGTTTTCAAAGGCCTTAATACTTTATTCTAAAAAGTTAATGGTATAATTTATAAAACATTTTTAAATCATTATCAACAGGAAATTAAACTCTAAAAAATAAATAATTACTAATAGTAGGTGTTGATTATATATTTGTACTTACAGTTGATGCAATTTGACTTGGGTCAAAAAAAACTTGTCTCTGGTGGTGTTGGTAGTGTAATATTTACAGGTAATGTCAACTGTTGATTTGTAGTACTTTTTAACACTTTATTTTTTAGCGTTTTAGGAATATCAGGTGAGAAACGTTTTGGTGCCTTTCTACAGCGATTCTCATTGTTATATGTATCATACACACGAGTATCACTATCGTTATCACTCCCAGACCATGCTTTAGCAACATTTCTGGCAATTAGTACACTATCTAAAAAGAAATATTTAAAAAACGATTTTACGGATAAAATAAAAAATGTTTTATAGTAAATAAGATGTAACTAAATGTAGAAACTATGCAAATTATTAATTTATTTCTTTTACCAAATGGTCCAGCAATTTTTAATGAATCATGCCAAATACCATCAATAGTGTTTGGTGCAAAAGCTTCCTTTATCATTTTATCGATTTGATGATTTTTAAAAAACGAAAATCCCTTTTGTGGTAGTTTAATATCAGCTTTAGAATGTGGAAACCAACATTTTCCAGGAGCTTCAATAGTCGGATCCCCTTGACCTGACTTGTACCAGTTATATGGAACATGCTCTATACTGTTATATTCCAAAAATTCTACAATTAACCATGACCTAAACCATCAAAGAAATATAATTAAGTAGGTAGGTACACATTATATTATAATATAGTTATTATTTTTTTTTGTAATTTTAAAATGTTTAAAAATTATATAATTGTATGATAAGTTTATTATGTCTTAATTTTATATTTTTAGTTAGTATGTTACATGTATGTAGTACGTATGCCATAAAATGATTTAAATATGAAAATAAATAATATAAATATTTGATTATAAGAAAATTGTTTTTAATTCCTTTATTGATGAAGATATGGTATTACAATATTATGTACTTCATCAAAAGGTAAACAAACAAGTTTTTCAATAATATTGCTTTCTTCCCAACTAATTAGTGGTCCTAGCTCAGAAACTTTGTAGATGCCTAAAGACGATGACTTGCAAGGATTGTCAAAAAATTCTTCTTTTCTGATATAACTGCGTCCAATTACAACAACTTGCGGTTTATTAGAAGTTGAGGTAGCAAAATTTTCAACCATTACTACTTGTCCATCACTTGTTTTCACACAATTATTGGCCTTGTCTAATTTTATAGTAAAGTGTTTAAATTGCCACCCATTATATTGTGGATTACAAGTGTTTGACAACAATGGTTTTGGTTTACTATTATCATGTCTAAATTCAATTGGACCAACTTCTTTTTGTGAATTATTTTGTGCCATATTCATTTTAAAATATGATCGTTATGCATTTCTTCGAATAATTTGCTGTAAGGGTTTGTTTCCTGTTTTCACATCTCTTTTTAAAACCTGCATATGATTTTCAAATGGGAACGCTGATATAGAGTCAAGTGGTCCATATTTTAATGCATCTTGTGCTAGATGTACTAAAGCATGTACATTATGTGATATATAATTAGTACCATAAATGTTTTTGAAAGTTTCAACAAAATACTTAAGAAGGTCTAAAGGTTCTAAATTTCTATATCATTGGTCATTTCAAATAAGATAAAATTTAATTTAATTTTGTAATTTCCTTTTATATATTTAAGCAACTGAAACAAAAATTTCAAAGAAATTCATTCATGCTTTTTTTAAAATTATTATTATTGATATTCGCTTCAACGCCAGAGATTACTGAAATTTTTTTCAATAATAATATTCATATAATAAAATATAGATACATAGATAATATGGTAATTGATAATATGTTGCATTACCCAAGTTTGTACTATTAACATAAACATCTCTCAAATCGTCAATAAATTGGTAAGAATTGTTTTGGCTGGATTGTCCAAACTGACTGTTTGCAGCATTCACATCAATATTGGCTAAAAGTTAGATTAGTAAATATTATAAAAAAAATTAGATGATAAAATCATGTTTATAATTTATAATTATAAAAATTGAGCCTATTGAGTACAGAGTGATAACCCGCCGCCTGAACTATACGGCTTCAAAGACGGTCGACATAGCGGTCTATGATCGGTGGTGTCGTCATCGAACTGTGGAACACGCACGTCGTTTTGAGCTGTGTCTCGTGCGGTTTTGCGCTTTGTACGCAACATAGTGGTGAGAATCACAGTACAAAGTAACCATCTCCGTTTGCGCCGTAAAGCCCGATTCACACTAGTACGACACGACACGTCACGTCACGGCACAACACGACACGACAAAATATTATAAACATTGTCTGTAATGGTGTAATTCACATATGTAAGGACCGACCACGACAGACACGAACCGTACCGACAAGACATCCTCGCCAAGAATGTTTTGTCGGGTCGTGTCGCTGCCTGTCAACGTCTGTCGGTACAATGTGAATTCAAAAACAATTTCTGTCCGACAATATCCGTCAATTGATGTCAATTTGTTTTCGGATGCCACAGGACCCACAGCATACTTTCAAATTTTTTTATTACAATTTAAAAAAAAAAAATGGATTTAGAGATGCTTATTGAGTTGGTTAGAGAAAGAAAATGTTTGTATAATATGAGTGAAAAAAATTATAGTGACCACCAGCTAAAAGAAAATTTATGGAGAGAAATTGCAAGCACATTAAAACAACCAGGTAAATAAATTATTTTTAATAATATTACTTATTAGCAATAGTATAAATTTTACATTCTGAGCAGATCGATGAATGTAAATGTAATGTGTATTTTTTATTGTTTGTGTCTGTGTACATGATATAAGTAGTCGATAATTATATTATATTATAAGGTGCTTGTGATTGGAAAATGAATCTAATAAGTGCATCAAGGAGTTCAAAATTTAATATTTAAAATAAAAATGCCGGGGGAAAAAAATAGGAAAAACGGGAATTTTAACCCAAAAAATCGGTTTTCGACAAAATTAATTTTGGGTTTTGGTGTAACTCATATTGACATTTTCTATAGGTACACCAGCTAGTGCTGTAAATTTCCATGAACATTTTTTGTTGTAAACAATTTTGTATTTTTATATTCTGGGTAAAAAAGTTTGAAAATTTAATACGAGAGTCCAAATATATTGATAGAATAGTAGTTTAAAAATATCAAAAATACATAGACACAACTTTTTTTATAAGCATTTAAAGTTCAGAAGTTGACAAAAATGTTCAACTTAAAAATTTAAAAAGTGGGCAAGAGGATGTCTGTCGCTCGGCTGTACAATAGATTTTAAGTGAGTCACTGTAATGGATGGTATTAAATTTGAATTCAATAGTATAATATCATTATTGTATACGGAAAACGATTTTATGTCGAGAACTCGAGACGGTTTGTCAGTCTGGATATATTATAAGTACTATATTAATTATATTGTTATTATTTAAAAAAAAAAAAATTTAGGGACCTAACTATAAAATGTAGGCTATATTTCAATTGTGCCAGAAAATATTTTCTGATATTATTATGATTAAAGTAATTAATTTTAATATTTTAGTAGATATCTAATTATATATTTTATTGGTTTTAATATATAATTTCGTCCAAATTTGAATTTAAAATTTAATTAAAATAAATAACTGTGCTTATATATTTTTTAGGTTTTTTGGTTACAGTATGAACTAATTAATAATTATGAGAACCATTGTTTTACATTTTAGATTCTGAGTGAAACGATGAATGTATTGATTTTACAATGATGTGTGTTTTTTTTTTTTTTTAATTTTTAATTTTTATGTCTGTCATCACGTTTTAGAACAGTAAAAGTGCTTGGATTTTCTTCAACAGTAACTTTTCTGATAGGAAAGGGAATCTAGTTGGTACTTTGGGGGGTCAAAAGTAAAAATTTCCCAGTAGTTTTCACAAGCGCCGGGAAAAAACCACATAAAAGTTAAGGAAAAACAGGAATTTTCACGCAAAATTGGTTTTCCAAAAAATCGATTTTGGTTTTTGGTATAACTCTAAAATAAATGAACGTATATACATGGAATTTTCACTGGTTGTTTATATTTGCATTTTCTATACATGATAACATTTTCAAAATATTTTGATTTATTTTGAACTGTATAGGGACATTTTCATTTTCCATTTTTTTTTAGTTTTTTTTCTAAAAATATCAATAAAATTTTATTTGTTGGTTACGAAAGCTTGAAAATTTAATAGAAGGCTCCTAGTATATTGTTTCAAAGGCAGATGAAAAATATTAAAAATCCTTAGTCACAATTTTTTTTTATAAGCATTTAAAGATCGCATTTTGACAAAATTTATCAAAATCTCGAAACTTATCAATCATTGTAATTAATAAATTATAAAATGTTCAGTTTTTATAGCTAAGGATTGCAAATTCAAATCAAAGGTTCTCATAAATAGTTCATACTGTAACCAAAAAATCTAAAAAATATATGAACACACTTATTTTTTACAGACATTTTAAATTCAAATTTCGACGAAATTTCATATTAAAAAACCTAGAATAACTATTTTAGTTACTTTGTTGTGATTGAATAATATTATTTGTGGGTACTTGAAACTTCTAAAGTGTACTATTATATATCTATGATAGTATCACGGTTTTTGTTGATGTATAAGTACCTAATGGATATTGTGATATGATTAATTTGGAATTCATTATAGGTCAATTTTTTTAATACCATAGATAAGTATATAATATGTCTTATACATACACTGACATACCGTCACCGCTCAGAATCGTTTTTCTCATACAATGATATTATATCGTTGAATTCAAATTTAATATCATCCATACAGCAGAGCGACACCCACTTGCCCACCTTTTTAATCTTATAATTTGCACATTTTCGTGAAAATATAAAAAGAAAACTTTAAAAAAATTATTTCAGTTGAAAACTGTAAAAAATCATGGACAAACCTAAGGGACGCATTTAGACGGGCTGCTAAAAAATCAGTTACCAAGTCTGGACAAAAATCCAAAAATATTAAAAAAATGGAAATTTGAAGACGAGATGAGTTTTTTAAGACCACATATGAAGGAAAGAGACTCAATAAGTAACATTGAATCCATGGTAAGCGATGATGACGATTCTGATCATAATGAAGATCAATGTGAAGAATCGGACAATTTGAATTCTTCGTCCGAAGATACTCATGAAGTACAATCAATACAGAGTCCAGATTCATTAACTTCAACACCACAACCGTTTCGTAAGCCAGTATCAAAAAACAGCTCTGTATCCAAAAAAAAATTAAATTATCAGATAACTATCCTGAATCCGCATCTAAAACATTAATGCAATATATTATACAACAAAAAGAAAATGAAACGAAATCTAAAGAAGATGAAAAAAATTTAGATGTAAATGATAAATTTTTTTCAAGTATGTGTTCCATGGTCAAACAATTTTCATCATACCACCAACATGTAGCGAGATCCAAAATTTTTTCAATTGTCTCAGAACTAGAATTACAGCACATAAACCAACAATCATGTAATCGACCAAAAACGACACCAAATCCACAGTCTGTATCTCATACACCAATACATGACCAACAAGACACTTATCAGTACCCGATCCCAAGTACCAGTCAATACCATTTTGCATCATCTACACCACATCTCCCACACGGTCAACAATATAATTACGAGTCTGAAACATCATCTGACAACAGTTATTTTAATATAGTACATACACAAGGTAAACAATAATATTCCTCTCATAATATTGTGCCAGTCAGAAGATTTTAATTTAATTATCTACATTGTTTTTTATTAACATGACGTGTCTTATTTTAAGTATTAATTTTTTCTTTGACATTTTAAATTATAATAAGGTTTATAAAAGTTATTATTTTTATTTTACATGCATTTAGCTAAATATTTTGGGTTTTTTTTCTATTATTTGTATTTTATGTACAATGTTTTTTTAGTTTATATTAACATAATATGCAAGGACTGCAATAATTAAATATTTGTTTATTAATGTTATGTTATTTTATTAAAAATTATGCTTTTTAAAGTTTAATTTTGTATTTTGTATTTTGTATTGTTCAATTTTGTATTTCAAATATTTATACCAGACTTTGATCATTATAATTTATTTTATCATAGGTACTATACGTTTTAAACATAATTTAATATAATAATAACACAACTATTTAGGTATTGATGAATAATCATATAATATTAACTTTTTCACTCATGATATTACAAAGAATAAATTGTTAAACTAACTAATGTTAATAATATAATTAGGTACCTCATTTATGAAACAAAACAATAAAATTACAGTATAAATTTATAAAAAATTATTTCCAATGTAATTGTCCAGCTGGAGAACAAAAAAATGTTTTATATTTATCTCGGTATTCGAATGCGCGTTTTTGTGCACTGCCTCCTTGTCGAGGAAATGACCTTATGTGACTAGGTAAACTTGTCGAATTTAATGGCAGTTCATGATTTTGAGTTTCTGGTCCATCTTTTTTTATAAAGTTATGAAGAATGCAAGTAGTCATAACAATTTTGTCTGCGTTTTGAGGTAACGCTTTAAGACGTCTACAGTAAATACGGAACTTGGCAGTAATTTGTCCAAAAGCATCTTCAACAACTTTTCTCGCCCTTGAAAGCCGTTCGTTGAATACTTTTTTTTGCTCATCTTCGTATATTTGGGGACTTGGGTAAGGTCTTAATAAATAATTTTTCAGTGGGAATGCCTCATCACCTATAATAACATACGGAAGTTTCTCATTTGTCCCAGGAAGTTCACGATCACTTGGTATATTCATTTTGTTTTTTTCGAGAGCTTTTCCCATATTCGAATGTGACAAAATACCACCATCGCTGTTTTTCCCATAGGCTCCAATATCCACAGCAATGAACCTATACTGGGCATCTACTAGTGCAAGTAATACAATGGAAAATGTTTTTTTATAGTTGAAGTACAATGATCCGCTGTTAGGGGGTGCTTCAATTACCACGTGCTTGCCATCCAGTGCGCCAATGCAATTCGGGAAATTCCAAATTTCCCAAAATTCATTGGCTATTCGTTCCCAATCTTCTTTTTTAGGGGTGGGCATAGTCTCTTCTTTCATATTTGAAATAATAGCTTCACAAACTTCTAACACAATAGATTGAACAGTAGAATGACCTAATCGGAAACTGAAAGAAATTGTTTGGTAAGAATCACCGGTTGCTAAAAACCTAAAAAAAAATCATTTACCAAAATTATTTTTATGTTAAGTTGTTTTCTCTATTAAGAATCCTAAACCATGTACTACGGCCAGTCTTGTAAAGTACTTGAGTAAAAGTATTCAAATACTTTTTAAGTACTCAAATACGTATTCTAAATAGGTACATTTGAAAAAGTACTTGGGAGCAGTATTTGAATACTTTGTTGGAAGTATCTGTATTTAAAATCAAATACTATTTTTAAATACTTTTTTCATCTTACTTTATTTACAGAGGCACCAAATTTAAATAAAAGAATAAAAAGTCTTTAAGAGTATCTGTAAATACTTTTTAAAATGTTTGTATTTGTACTTAAATACTTATTTTTTCAAGTATTCAAATACGTATTTTAAATACTTTTGAAATAATATAAGTCGCAAAACTTTTGATTTGAAAATAGCTATATAAAAATACAATTTTAAATCTAATATAATTTCAAAATATATGGCTGAATAATTTTAGTACCAGCTATAGATTAATGATTGTATAACTAATGATGTACTAAAATACGAAAACATTTAATCTAATTGCATTACCTTTGCAAAAATATTTTTGATTTTTACTCAACACATTTTGTAAAAACACACATTTATTTTGTAAATTTTTATTTTTTAGTACAGATAATTCCGACTTTTTATCTTATTTTATTAACAATTATATAGTAATATAGTAAGTTAGTACCTACTAATAGTAACTATTTAAGTATAAAATACAAATTAATTTAAAAATATATTAAAGTGTACCAACCTTAAGCACACTGCCAGTTTTTCCTTAGGTGGAATTGATTCCCTAAATGGTGTATTCTGTTTAGTGATCTTGTCCTTGATTTTCAAAAATAAAACATCAAATTGAAATTTCGTCATGCGAAAATATTTAAAAAATTTATCTTCGTGGTCTTCCAGCTGTTTACATAATGTTGCATATTCTCCTTCAATTTTTCGTTTTTTTAATATTTCGTGGACCCATATTGATCTTTTTTTTTGCTTTTTTTTAGCCATTTCTATTTCTTGAGCTTACTCTTCATCTAACAATATAGCCACCATTGCCAAATCAGAATTGGAAAAATGTTTGAACATTGTGAAAAACACAACCTCTCGGTAACAAAAATGCGAGTGGAATGAATATTTTATAAGTTTTAGGTTAGGTTACAGAGTCAAATTTGGTCGTATGCGTCGTAACGTGTCTGAGGTTGCAGGTTTGGTGTGAATTCGTAGTATCGTTCCCGTGTCGTGTCGTGCCGTGACGGTCCGTGCCGTGCCGTAACAGTGTGAATCGGGCTTTATACGCATAATCATAGACGAGATGTCAGTATTAGTATAATATTATAATTGTTGTTCTGTGTCCGTGCTGCAGGGTAATACCTTATTATATACGCGCTCCCGTACGCATACCCTCATCGTCGTCCAAGACATCATCTTCATCCACCACGGCACCACATCTGGCGTCATCATTAGCGACAGTATCGGATAAAATTAAAATTCATCCGCACACGACGAAATTATTCTCCGTGGTTGATAACCCGGAATATTACGTCAAACAGAGCCGTTTAACCCTTTAACGGGCAATTATTTCCCACCTCGGGAACGCGTATTGCCACGTCAAAAGGTTAAGACATCGTTTATTGAATGTAAAAAAAAAAATAAATTATTACATGGAAATAACAGTCCGTCGGACAAACAGCGGTAACGCTCTCGTCCGACGATTAAAACAATATCGTTATTTTTTTGTTACAAAATTATTATTATTAGGATATAGTTTTCGATAGTCGACCAACCGGCGGGCCACCAGGGCGATGTTGCGGGCCGCGTTGACGTCACGATTCCAAGTGATTCCACATTTCGGGCAAAACTGGAACCTGTGATCGTGGCGTCGACGTCGACCGATCGCGATATCCCCTGTACTCTTCGGCGACGGCGGTGTTGATTCCTTTTTGTGTTTGGGCGGCATGGTCATGCGTTTCGCACACCTCGAACAGCACCGAGTGGTCATGTACTCGTCCACGTCCGCGACCGCGCACCGGTCTCGTCTCCGGTGAAACGCCCGGCGTAGCGAACACACCGCGGGTTTGCGGTTCGCGCCGTAGCTCACGCCGTCCCGCAGCGATCCGTCGCCGAAACACACCAACACCTTTGGTGTTTGCGACCGTTTCTCAGTAGTTTTATCGTTATCCATGTCCAAAAGCCGTTGCACCAGCGAATCTTCGGCACCGCTTTTACACCTTTTCCCGAACCATGCCAGTTTAGTGAGCTTGTGCCGAGAAAATCGTAAATGCGAGCGTTCGTGGTGACGCAAGCGGTACGCGGTGTACGCCAGAGCGTCGGCGTACGTCGAGCAGCACTTGGATGTCATTTTTTCAGATTCCTTACGTTATTGTAAGAGTTCACGTTCGTACCGGCCAATCAGTTTTTCACGTCGGCGTTTGATTATCCGTTCCTTGCACTCAAATTGTTTAAACTTGGCAGTTTTCAACGTATAGTTACGTTTACGATCCACGTTATCGAGGTAACATGCGCCCACGTAATTGACCACGCCGGGATCCAGTCCCAGAAATCCGGAAAACTTGGACAGATCGACGGGATCGCGGTCGTCCGTTTGTTTTCGCTTCGATCTTTTGCTCTTGGGTCCGATAGAATCGTTGTTTTTCGGCACGAAACGTTCCATGGCCACGCAGCAGTAACCGCCGTTCGTGGTGAACGACATGCCAAACTTTGTGCGATCCCGATGCGCGGTTATCGCGTTCGTCTGGGGATCCAAGCGGCCGTAGCGTCTGCCGGAGAGGTTGAAATACCGCCACCAGTACGTCGGAGTGTTGTTCATAAAGTCGTAGATGTCAGATGTGCATTCCGAAGGTTTTACCGAACGCAATAGTTCGTGTAAAGCCCGAGCGTTGTACCGCAAGTGTTTGGGGCCGGGGCGGAAAACCGGAAACACCGAAAAGGATCGCGAGCCGTTCCGCTCGAACCACGTGGCCAGCCGGTGCGAAAAGGGAACCAGACTCCACCAATTGTTCTCGGTAACCTCGGTAGTCCGCAGGCAATCCGAAAGCGTCAAACATTTCGCAGATTTCCAAACTGCGGACCGTCGGACGGTCCCGCGAGAACAGCTCTTCGTAAACCCGACACGTCCACACCCATTTGGGCGCTTTGCGTTCGTGTTTGAGGTACAGGTAACGCACTACGCCATTGAACAGGTGGACGTAAACGCAATTCTTCATCGCGGTCTCGTGTTGTACCGCTATGGATTGGATCAGATACGTTCGTAGTTTACCGTCGTAGATCCGTTGCAAACCGGCCCTTGCGCTGTCGTTTTCCCTGCAGATGATAGTAAAAATCTAGCAAGTGGTTTTGCGTGAACACCGTCGGCATCACGTCTTCGGCAGAGTGTAGCAATTTCGTATAGTGATAATGAACGTAAATCGAAGCTTCCACGGCCAGAGCCGACACTTCGAACACGTCGGCGACCATGCGTTCGCGCAACTCGCGGTCCCGACAAAACTTGCCGAAACCCTCCTGCACGGTGTACGTCGTAACGTTTACGTTAGCGTCGTCGTTAGCCGCGAACCGTCGTTTTTGCGGCAACACGCGCTGCGCGCACTTGGCCGAGGACGCTCGCAAGTGATCCGTGCCGGCGATGACGATTGTACTACGACCATTGTCGTTTGCAATACTCAAGCTACAGGTCGTCGACAACCGATATTTATACCGAAAAAAAGTCGAGCGTGTAAGAAGTACGCGGGGATGAAGTGAAACTTCTTTCAGTCATACAACTGATATGAGGTTTTGTAATAATAATAATAATAATAATCTTATGTTAATTAATGGTATATATATATTTATGGTATTAATAATGATATATCAAGTAGGTACCTTCTACAAAGTATACATGTAGGTTACTTATATATAATATAAATAATTGTACTTGTACCATTTTCTATCCAAGTATAAAGGAAACATATTGGTACGTTGGTAATGGTAAATATGTAGATGAAATCAAGTATTAATTAAATATTTATTATTATTATTATTATTATTTATTAAATACTTATAGTATAGTCATATAATATGATGAAATTCATCGAGTTATATTTTGAATATACATAATTTGACTCACCTAAAAATAGTATATTATATTATATTATATTATATTATCGCGCACTCTGGAATATTTATTATATATGCGTTTTCGCTTTTATCAACTTGACTACGGAATATTGTTTATACCATGATAAAATAACATGGTATGCTGGCAACTTTATGATACGCATACCCCTTACCCCGCCGACCATCATACAGAGCTGTATCCAGTTCGCCGCTTTTCATTGGTTTTCATGATCAATATATATACATAGTGCATTATGAGGAGAACTGGATACAATGAAATGCGCAAACTCCGACGATATTCAGTTCGTTGCCATCATACCATGTTATTTTATCATGGTTTATACGTTTATACTGGTTTGTTTATAATATCATATGATATGTTTCCAAAAAGATTACAAAATATTGAAACGGAAAATATCAAAAACTTTATAAACAAAACATCGTACCGTTTTCGTGACGCGCGAGCGTCCGTGACGCGCGAGCGTCCGTGACGCCCGAGCGTCCGTGACGCCCGAGCGTCCGAGCGTCCGTGACGCCCGAGCGTCCGTGACGCCCGAGCGTCACTCTCTTTTTTTTCAATACCCCTCACATAAGAAGTTTAACTTCAAAAAATAAAGATAACCAAAATATTTGATATAAACGTGTTTTTTACTACAAAAATAATGACGTTGTTTTACATGAATTATCGGTTAAGAGGTGGGAAATATTTGCCCGTTAAAGGTCTATTTCCACATGTCCGTTACGGGCACGGGACGGGACCGGACCCAGTCTGTGCCCGTAACGGAAGCTCTGTTTACACATATACGGGGAGAGTCCGGGCTGTGACCGGGACGGGATTTTTATTTTTATCAAAAGTGTGTACCTAATGTGAATATATTACAATCAGTTTTGATGTAATTATGATTTTTTCTGTGGTGGGGGTAATTTTTTGGCTAAACATTGTGAAGTAGGAGCTTTCATTTTCCGTCACAGCTCAGTTTTAAGTCACCCGGACTGACGGCACTTGAAGAGTATATACACGTGATTAATTGTTCTAAGTTAAGTTAAGTTATTTGCTTTGAATATGACGACAAACAAAAATATTTTAATTGCGATCGCCCTGCTTCTTGATGAAGAAGAATTAAAATCTGCTGTAACTCAAACTACAGCATCGAGAAAACGAAGACGTTTTTGGGTCCACGAAGCATGGAAAAAGCATGAAACTGAAGGAGAGTTCAATACATTGTATAAAGAACTAGTAGATGATGTACGTAAATTTTACGAATATTTTAGAATGTCTATGTATTAATTTAATGTTTTACTGAATAAAGTTAAAGATGACATTGAAAAAAAAACGACATTTTGGCGAAAACCTGTACCACCAAGAGAACGACTCGCTGTAACTTTAAGGTAAATAATTATACCACCCAATTATTAATTAATAATGTTTAAAACTAAAGTATTGTTGTTTAGAATACCTATATTACGCAACGTTATCTAATATGTTGTAGGACAAATTTTATTTGCCCGTTATTTTGAGTTAGAAATTCATAAAAATTTTCATTTAAATCTAAGATTTAAAAACATAATACAAGATTGATTATAAGATTGCCTACCTTTATAAAAAAAATTTCGAATACCAAGTCAAATTACATTTTTATGAGCGTTTGAAGATCATATTTTTACATTTTTTTTACTCGATTTCTCATGTAGCGATTTTCTTATTTTGTTGTAATTCAAAAATGAATAACTACAGATACTTAAAAATTTCACTGAATGTTTATATTCTCATTTTCTATACACCATACAATTTTCAAAATATTTTGACTCTTTTTGAGCTTTTTACGGACTATTTCAAATTTAAATTTTTTTAGTTTTTTTTTCTATAAATACCAATACATTTTTATTTGTTGGGCCAAAAAGCTTGAAAATGTAATATAGGGCTCCTGATATATTTTTACAATAGCAATTGAAAAATATTAAAAATACATATGCACACATTTTTTTTATAAGCATTTAAAGTTCGAATTTTGAAAAAATTCATCAAAATCTCGAAAACTATCAATCATTGCAATTAAAAAATTATAAAATGTTCAGTTTTTATAACTAAGGTTTGAAAATTTAAAACAATGATTCTAATAAATATTACATACTGTAACCAAAAAATCTAAAAAATATATTAACACAGTTATTTTATACAGACATTTTAAATTCAAATTTGGACGTAATTATACATATTAAAATCAATATTAACGATTTTGGTTATTATGTTGTAATTTAAAAATATTATTCGTCCGATTGGAAATTTACCATACATACAAACGTTTAATATTTCTAAATAAAATGTCATGTCGTTACTGAATTTTAGGTATTATCTAGTAGGTATCTACTAAATATTATCATCGATTTGCATTATTTCTTAAATATCGAAAACGGATATTCATGAGTATACCTATACATCTTTAAATAAAATACAGTTTTTAAACTAAATGGTAGATACCATACATTTTTATTTATATTATGTTTATAATTTTATTTTGTATAGGTAGGTACTTGGCTACTGGCGATTCATTAAAAACCATTTCATTCAGTTACCGCCTCGGCCATACTACAGTTTACAACATTGTAATGGAAACTTGTAGCATAATTTCCCAAAAATTAATGTCTGAGGTTATGGCAATGCCAACCACGGAAATCGCGGCACGTTCATGGCGGGCGGGTTTCGGGGGTAACCTGGCAGTTTTCGTTGCGCGGACTATAGCTCATAAGTCGCAAACCTACTTTTTAATTAAAGCTCCTGTTTGCATAAAAATATTAACCAATGAATTAAGCATAACAATTATTATATTCCATAACTCGATTTATATTTCTAACCCAATTATCTACTTTTTAAAATACAAGTAAAATAATAATTTCATTAGAATTAAATAGATTTTTTAGTAAAAGTGTACCGTATTTTACGTTGTAACTTATAAGTGACATGAAGCAATGTTTGTACGATAATTTAATCTATTAAATAAATATTAGCTACATTTTAAATAGTTTTGATTATATAGTTAATATTGATGTATTTTCTTATTTTAATTTTAAACATATAATACATATAATATGAAGTTGATGTTGTCCATAATGTTTATTAAATAAATATAAATAAAATAATATATTAATTATATAATTGCAATTTGTAGTACCTATGTAAAGAAAGCAATCTGTATAAACTAAACATGTTCATTGATCATAATATCATATAATGTATATAAATTAAAATTAAATTATGTACAGACCACATTTGTTATACATAATAGTTAATTGAAACAAAACATTTAGATTAATGACAATTTATTATAATTGATAACTTAAATTAATGGTATAGGTAGCGTAAATAGTGTAGAATATATTATATTCTAGTATACTACCTATGCTTTTATTTTATGAAATATAATAATATGTACATTATATTATCTATATGTAAAAAGGGCATAGTAAGTTATGCATGTAATAATAAAATAAAATATAATAAACTAGCTGATCCCGTGCACTTCGTTTCCCGTTAAATGTACCAACTCTATATGACTCAAACATTGTTCAATGCGTTATTTAATATTCGGTGTATGATGTTCTATATTTATCTTAACTTTTCTGTTGCCCGGAATAAAAATTCTGAATTGCAGCAGCCAGCAGTACATTATCAGATAGGTAATTTACCTGCGGTAGATCGCGGACCCCGTGCTGTTTGTACGTAAGTGTATGATTTAACTCAAAAAGTACCAAAGTTATACCAAGTTTGACGTTTTTACTTAATTCCACCTACCTATAAATCTTAACCTAACCGTACTAAAATCCGATGAATAAAAAAAACCAAATTTAACCCTTTTTAAATTAGCGTATCTTCTTCCCATAGGTCATTCATTTATATATAAAATATATTTACAAAAAATAATAATACAAATCAACAAACATGCCCGATTAACCAATAGCAACCAATATAATATAATACACCATAGAGTAAATAAAGACAACGGTATTGAGTTCAAATCCCAGACATCAATAAATAGTTTTTGCAGTTTTTCTAATTATTCGGTTGACTTTTTAAAAATTTTCTTTCGTAAAAACCTTCACCTGGCAATTACGAACA